ATGTCAGTGAAGTGCTTGTGAAGTGAAACGTCCGGAGGGACACACAATCATGTTATAATGCAAAAACCAGTGAGGTCAGACTGCAGGCCGCGTCAGTATCGTCGGTCCTGAAGGGTCCTGAAGGGTCCAGCTCGGTGCGCTGCTGCTCAGAAGTTTGGGTTGGTTTCGGAAGATTTTTTGTTTCTGAAATAGAAGCATATTTGGTTTTTGTCTAATGAGGCATAGTGCTGATCAGACATGTCACATGCTACAAAACAATTTCTGATTAATGGACAAAGTCGTCATTGCTTCGAAGAGAACCATCACTTCTGTGTTCTGCGGTGTTTCCTGTTACAGCTTTATCGTGCTAAAAGGCTATGTGGTCGTCAGAAGAGTGTTTTTGTAAATTAAATGAGTACATGTGAAAATGTTTTTTGAAGTAACGGAAGCAGTAAATTTGGCTCGTTCAGTTGTAGCCAAAAAGAAATTGACAAACTAGTTCTAATCAGAATGGAAAGAGATTTTGGAGAGGCTGGTGCACAGCTGAGGAAGAGGAAAAGTCCATCACTGACTAAAGACTGGTTTGAGAAACAGGTACCTCACAGGTCCTCACCTGGCATCTTCAGTGAACAGCAGCTACATAACGTCCGTCTCAGTGTCAGCAGTGAAGAGGTGACTCCAGGATTCTGGTCTTCAAGCAAAGTTGTGAGGAAAAAGCCATATTTTGCTGTTCGGTCTTCTGCCCGTCTTGTGGCTTTTTTCCTTTGTGACACTGCTTAGACGCCTCTTTACTGCAGATGTTCAGACAGGCATTTTATGGGCGCTGTTGAAGCTGCCAGAGAAGACGCCATGTGGCATCTATTGTTCAAACTGGAGACTCAGATGTACTTGGATACTTTATTGGCTGCACACAAGGACCTCCGACTTCTCTTGGTTATAAGCAGATTGTGCTGGTTCAGAGAAAGCTATCATATACGCTGTTTTATTAAATATTTTTGAAGAGCTTCATTATTTAGAACATAAACCTTCTTGATGAAGCAGCTGCAATCAGTCAAACAAAGGCCAATGCTGCAGCTTCCGAGCATGATCACTTAGCCTTCTAACTTAATAAACTTGTATCAGGTAACAGTGTACCGCTGGAACACACGATGCTTCCTGAAAACAGCCCTCCATTAAAATAGTTACTAATGATGTATAGTTAACGATTCCGGTGGTCACTGATTATCATTTACAATGTGTCTAATTTAAACTAATGTAACTTTAAACTAAGTAATTTCAATTTTTTTCCAAAAACAAATTACTTTTTTATTCTAAAAAAAAAAAGTGCACCAAAACTTTTGAACAGTATTGCATGTTCAAGAGCGGCTGAATGTAAATATGACAGGAAAGACCCAGATTTCTTTGTTTAACAGCACATCAAATGATTTTCATTGTCATTAATTCATTTTATTGCTTATATTAGTAATGGCGCATTTATTGTTCATATGACCTACTTTTATTTTGCGTTCACTTTTACTTGGCTACAAAATGTGCCAAAGTTGATGTAGCTTCACATGTTGAGATTTTAAGTCACATATTAATGCAATCTATGATGATGTTGTTTTTTGTTTATAAACACAACTAATTTTGTCACAGATACTTTTTTAAAAAAATTCTAAGCTACAAGCTAAAAATCTCACGCGTGCTCTGTAATGTAGTGTGACGCTGGGAGGCTGGTTACCATGCTGTATGCGCCTAGCGCTGCTTCAAAGTACATTCAGCAGCTTTTCTTCTTTCGTGCTCGCTCCACAAGCTCGGGTCTGTTTTTATGAATTTGGATGGCGGTTCAACCTCACTGTCGTATAACCATTATAATAGAATGCCCACGAATGACATCTTCCACATCATACCTCTGCCCCTCATTAGCCTGTGCACACCATTCAATGTACATAATGTATCTGTTTTCAGGTTTGCTAGAAGACTGTAGATTTGTTCTCAATCAGAAATTTTAACTCGTCTTTGGTCGGACTTGTCCACCTTAGTCATTTGTTTCTGTTGTTGCTATATTAAAATACACCCTAAAAATATCTTGTTTCACTGTAGTTTAAATAACTGCAATGGGAAATCTTTCCCGCTTTTATACCTCTTTTTTTTGTTGTCAGTTTCGGTTTTTTGGATCACAGAGAAAATGGAAAATTGTAAATTGTGACATTATTTATACTGTACATTGTCGTTTTCGTATATATTTATTGCATATCAAAGGATACGTCACTTGACAAGGGGCTACAAGGTATTTTAAAAATGTAGTATGGTCATAATGTGTTGATAGGGGAAGTGCAATCAGGGGGGTGGTTTAATTTTCATGGTGCTAGACCCCTCCTTGCCTCAGTGCCCCCTCATTAAACAGCATATAATGATATATGAACATAAGTCAGTGATACAACTCAAACCAACCATTTGGTGCTCAGAACCATTTCAACACAGTTTACTGGTAACAGAAATGGAATGATGTCTTTGTACTGTATCTAACAGATAAATACGAGATCTTTTTTAACATTTTTTTTTCCATTGTATGAAATTCATAATCTTGTGAGGCATTAGTGATTTTATGATGAGCATTAGCAGTAGTTGTAACTCTTGACACTTGCAGAGACTTTTAGGGATGTGACTTTTAATGGCGTCGAGGTTTTTCGTGTCTTGTCTTCATTATTGGGATTATTTGGAGGGTGTAATAATGCTTCTTTTTCCCCCCTCTTGACTTGTTTGATTTATGCTGCACTTACTGTTTGAAAAAGAACTCACATAGAAGAAAAAACCTGAGCCAGACCTGTCTTAAATCCCTCTGTGATTTTTCTGTGACATATTGTATGGTTGTTCAAGAAAATAAAATGTTTTGATAAATTATCCCACAATGATTTTTTCCGACGTTTCATTTCTTTTTTGGAGTCCCATCGAGTACCTTCTTCAGTCTTAACTGGCTAACCCTCTCTGCTCTCTTTGAGATTAGCTCAATATGAGCGGATGTCTTTTACCTGATGGGTAAGCTACAGCCTCTATTTGCATTCTATGAGAAAATCTTAAAAAGAGCTTTGCCCGCCCACAGTTGTAGATGGCTCGGCAAGCCGCTTTGCAACCCAACTCCATTTATAAGCATTTAAAAACACGACTTATTTTATATGGTATCGTTTTCTAAGAAAGTGAGACTGAACTGCATGCAACTTGCTTCTGTCTGAATCTTTTATTAATTTGAATAAAAATTAGTTTTACAGGAGAATAAAACCTCGTGTTATTGGTGATGCAATTTCCCCCTTTTTTTCTAGAACCAGTATATCAAAATTTCCATTTTCTAAAAATTCTAATAATCTCACTATGCACCATCCATTATCCATTAATTAGTAAATTCCACTATCATTCCTGTCAAACTCAGTATTAATTAAAAAGTGTTAGCTATCAAGCCAAACTAACAAATGCTGAAACAAAGGATAATAGTTTTTATTTTCATTTTAGTTTTCCAAGTTCACAAAATTGTTTCACTTTTGAAGGCATATCTGTGCAACAATGAGGTCTTGTGGTCCTGAAGGATCTGATCCAGCGTTTAAATGTGCCAGCTGCACTTCTGTCAGTCTGCTTATGGCCACTGAGTGGCTCCACTGGACACTGTGCTTCCCTCAGAGTTGATGCTGAGGGAGGCGAGCACACAGCTCGTTTATTTTTCCCTCCAACACTTTCCTGATACCATCTTGTCAAAGCTACAAGCTGCAGCTGCTCTCGAGTTCAGCAGGAAAGTAATTCAAATGTAGCAATAAGTCAACTAAGTCATACAGTAAAACAATGAAGTCAGCGCCTAAAGTGACCAAAAGAAGTAACGCTACATATTGCTTATACAATGATAATGAACCAAAATAATATAACAGATGTAGACTTGCATGAAACTGTTTGAAAACAGGCGCCACACGCAATGAGAGTGTCATTCTTTCAGTCTCACGGGTATGAGATTGCCAGACCTGTGCACATCACAGTGTCGAGCGTGGACACAGCAGCGGATATCCCGGATCCAAGGACAGGAAGACTGGTCTTCCTCTACCAGCCCTCTCATACACTCACATGCACATACAAACAACACACACTGTGGCACTGCTAATGGCAAAAACACTGGTTGACCCCCGTCACCTTCTCTCTTCCTCATCCCCTCTTTCTATTTTAAACCCACAGATTAATGCCAAGAGTTCTTTGATCAGTCGTCTTTGTACCAGCCATTAAAATACTCTCATTCTCTTTGGGGAATTTATAGATCTGCCCCTTGTTAAAAAAGAAATAAACAAAGATGTCTACAGTGAGCTTTTTAAAAAAAAGATAATAAAATTAGACTTCATATCAAAATACTAATTTCACCCTTTGATCTGAGCCCCTCTGGCTTCTTATCAGCCCCATGATAGCCTCTTTCCCCACCTCTAAATTAGCAAGTGTTCCCCCGCTTCCTCGTTTCCTTATGTTTTCTGAAAGAGCAGATCTGTTTTTCATCACAGGGTCAAAGGCCAAACCCCTGTCACTCCCGCACTGGGAAGAAACCTTATGTAAGTCTGTCTGTGCCTTAAACATCTTACTTCAGGCTATATTGCCAAGTGGTTGAATTGAGCTCTCAGTGAAAATGTAAATATAGCAAGTCTTCTGTCAGACTCTCAGTTTGACTTCTCCCAGAATGGGTTCAAATGTATTTATTTTTTCTCTTTTGGCTTGAAAAGCGATACAAAATGAGCTGTTTTGGATTTTGAACAGGACCTTATCGGGACTTGACAGTGAAGAAAAAGCTCAGTGAAGGTGTAAAGTGTTGCAGACTGGACTGCATATAACTCCTCTAATCCATCCAAATAAACACTCTTCCTCCCTCCCCCTTCCTCTCAGGGGTTATCATATATAAACCCCTCCACTGCACCTCTGCCCAACAAACCTAACATCAGCCTTTAACACAGCCCAGCCTTCTTTCTGTGCATTCGAGGCAACACAGGATACAGGCTCACTGGCTCGGATCTCAAAACTCAGAGTGAAAATCTTAAAAAGGGAAGGAAAAGCATGTCAGGGAAGGAAGCCAGTAGGAAAGCCCAATTTGCCACCAGCCTGTAGAGCTTTTTTCTCCCCGCCTCTGTGACATCTCTGAAGTCCAAACTGCTGACAGATTCCTGATTCTTCTTCTTCTTATTATTATTATTAGCTTGTATAATTAGCCCAGAGCACAGAAGAAGACTTAGCCGAGAGGTAGAAACTCCACCTTTACTTGGATATACGTTCGAAATCTGGATTTTTAGTCGGAGAAGACGCACATCAGGAGGAAATTCTTGAAATTCTCTTCATCTGCTGCGGCCACTACTGAGCTGCACCGGGGAAGGTCATCAGGTTTATAACGCAAGTAAGTATGACAGGATCCATCCTTTACTTTTGCTTTCCTTTCTTTTTTCTTTTTTTCAAAAATAAACAAAACAGCTCATTTTATTTGAATGTGTACACACTAAATCAGTGCCATTCAGTAGGGTTCATTTTGATCTGGAAGCAAACAGCCTATTTTCTCCAGTGTCTCCAAAAGGCCATCCCAGATCGAAGGAACTGTTAAAATGCTGTGTAAGCCGTTGATATGTTTTTTTTTAATACTCAAAAAGCCTTTTAATCTATGTGATAGTTGTTATTCAAGTTGTACTCTTTGACTTCCATATAATGCACAATAATCTAGTTTTAGAAGAGATATTTTTTAATGATCTTAACACCTAACTGGACAGTCGATTGGAGGGTGAGGTTGAAATGCCAAAGTGAAAGATTTCACACTGGTGAATACCAGCAGCTGTCAGTGCAGCACAGATCAGAGGGAAGTAGTGTTAGTGCTCCTCTTTATCGCGTGGAAACACTTGAATGAATTGAAATGTAGGAATTAAAAGCTCACACCCAGCATTTCATGAATAAAATTGTGACATTGTTCTGACACTTCGGTGAGTAGTGGAATTTTTTCAAACTTTTCCAGATGCTCCTGGCTCATTGTTTTGGGAGGGGGTCGGAGGTGGAGTCAGGGAAGTTAATTTCCTTGCACTTACAACTGTGCAGTTATCTCATGGTGACTTTCCATATCTTTCGCCATAATATTTCAGGGACCTATTGCATAATATGGTTTAATATTCTGTAACTTTCCATCTTTGTAGCGGTCAGACTGAATCAGAATCAGAGCATGCAGGGAGAGGGAAGGTTTTTAACAGACAATCAAAGACAAGTAGAGACCCAAGATGAGATCGATAACGCCGGGATTAAAACAAAGTCATGCTGATCCAGGTTGTTTTGTGGATTGTCTAGCTGCATGAATGACTCGTGTGTGGTTTTTTTATGCAGAAAAGACCACAAAGAAGATGAGCCTCTCACGGACCGGGACGCTGGAGAAGACGATGTCTGAGCAAGCCCGCTCCGAAGCACGGTTCTCCTCCAGATTGGGGTCAGGGGTCGTGGTGCCGCCTCCTTACTCTCACAGAGGGAGCGAAGCCGCTGACCCCCCTGTGGAGTTGAGGGGCTCTCTGGACTGCTGGGCGTGCTCCGTGCTGGTCACTGCACAGAATATGATCATCGCTCTGATCAATTTCAGTCTGGCCAGCATCTTGTTCGGCATCATTCTCACCCCTGCGCTGACCATGATCATATTCGGCTTTCTCTGCCACTCCACAGTAAATACATATATATATTTATATAATTATCTTGGATTTAATGAAAGAAAATGCTGTTTTAAAAGATTGAAAGAAAGGGGTTAAAACTAGATTCTGCTGGTAATCACAGTTTATCAAACCAACCACTGGAGTTGCACCTCCTGATGTCGATTTTTAATCAAACTCTTAATGTTGGAAGGCCAAAGAAAAGAAAGGAATTCCTTTATTTCCGGAGATTTGACGCTGTTTTCTCAGCTGTTTCTGGAGCCTCCCAGAGCTCATTTACTAAGCTGCTCTAGGTCACTGTGAGACTTAGGCCCTCACAAACAGCACACTGCATGCTGACCGTGTTGTACATCACTAGTGTGAGCACCTTAAATACACAAACACTTCTTAGAGTTAGTGCTGATGATGGTTTGGTGTGAATGGCCTCTGTGACCCTTCATCCCTTCTCCTTCAGGTGCAGCCCCATGGAACATCACTATACTGTTCAGACCTGCTGGACGACACAGCCTGCATAGCCCTGCTGGTGGTGGGCTTTCTGCTGCTCACCCCTCTGCTGGTCTTGGCGCTGGCGGCTTACTGCCGTCTGGCCCGACACCTCCAGCTGGGCCTGTGCTTCATCCCCTACAGCCGGGCTGTGTACAAGAACCTGCCCACCCAACGCAACCAGAAGCAAGGTCCGGGGAGCTGCTTTAGTCAACAGGATGCAATGGAGAGACAGGGGAAGGGTAGCATCTGGGTGTAGATGAGAGGAGTGGAGAGGAGGATTATATATGATTATATTATCAAGTTTCCTGCTTTATAACGAAATCTACTTTTATATGTCCTTTTTCTGTAGCCATTGTAAAAATCCATCACATTTAATCATTCATATTCATTGTTTAAGAGTCACAATTGCGTTTTGAATACAGTTTCAATGTATTTAATTTCTTTTATTTTCTTTTTTACAGTAAAGTTTTTTTTTAAAAAAATAAAGTGTCACTCAGCTTTTTTTTTTTTTTTACACAGAAAAAAAAACTGCCCTGATAGCTCAGTTAACTCAGTGACATATACTTTTGGCCAGATGCAGGAAAAACTCATGACACGAGCTACATAAAATATAGCCTGGGCCAGATGTGGCTCAAAGGGTATGACCTGAGACTGACTTAGGATACGGCACGTGTCTGGGGTCATAAGGTAGACCCGTGGCTTAGTTGAGGCAGCTAGACTGCATCTCAGCCTCATTAGTCAAAGCCAAAGGTAGCCCAAAGAAAATTACAAATGTGGGCCAAATGCTGAACATGGTGAAGGAGGACATGCAGACTGTTGGTGTGGCAGAAGAGGATGCTAGGGATGAAACTGAAGATAAAATTGAAGAATGAGGAGAAGACTGGGTAGTAGATCTAATGGACAAACTGCCATCAACAACCCACATAACAAGCTGCTGGAAAGCAAAGAGGGCATATGGTGATGTCAGCTTTTTCACAGGTGAGTCTGTTACACTGGACTTCTCACTTAGACATAAAAAGCCACATCCCTGCTGTGTGACTGATGGTAGGAGTACTCTGTTATTTTTCTTTCTGTTATTTCTACAACTTGTGATGCTCTGGTATAGCCGTGTGAAACACATTTATACTAATAAACTTCAGTAACAATTAAAAAAGCAAGGTTTCCAATTATAATTCCGTACTAAAAGTACAGAACATTTTTTGGTTGCACTCTAGTTAAATGAGGTCAGAACAGGAATTTGTAGAAACCTTTTTGAAAAACTTGACATCTTGATTTAGACTCTTTGACCAAAGACTTTAGACTTTATCACCTCTTGAGATTTTTAATAGGAACCACAGATCTCAAATATAAGGTCAGTCTGCCAGACCCTGGCCCTAGAAGTAAGATAAGATAAAATAAGATAAGATAAGATAAGATAAGATAGAACTTTATTAATCCCTCGGGTGGGTTCCTCTGGGAAATTCGATTTCCAAAAAGCACAGCACCGACAGAAGTTACAGTTACAGAATATTATATATATATACACACACACATACACACATATATAAATACAGAGACAAATATAAATAAAATATACGAAGGGGATAAATAGAATAAATAGGAATAAAAATAAAAATACAAGTGAACTGCACATTTCAAGTATTGAGGTCTATTGCACCAAGTATTCAGTGGTTTAGATGGTTTTGCAAGCTACAAAAACGGCAGAGAAAAAGTGAGCAATTCCATTTCCTTTGTTAGTAAAATTGAGGAATTGCTTGATATATCTTTCGAAAATTGACTTTGTCATTCCTGGCTTCAGAATCTTCCAATAAAAAAATAAAAAGTTTCTTCCCTGTAAAACATTGTTTTATGCAGAGAGGTCTGGATCTCCTGAAGGTAAACTGGTCTCTGTGTTTATGAATGACAATACATTTTCTTCATCTAGAGCCATGATTATCCGATTCATAATGTGCAGGTTGCTCTTACTTTTTAAATCCACAAGGTGGAGTCAGAGACATCATTCTAATATTAAGTGTCACAGTTGATATACACACACACACAAAGTAGCCAGTCAGATAAAATGAAAGAGATATAAAACCTTTATTCGGTTATAAATTACAAACACAAGGTTTGGCAGAGTTTTGAATAAGACATTACAATTGCCTTCCTTTTAATTATTTTGCGGTACAACACTGAAGTTATGTATTCCTGTATAACATATATATAGTGCTTTGAAAGAGCTGCATTTCACATTAAAATGTCTAGATTTGTGTTTCCATTTTCTGGTCTGGACGGGTATTTGAGGTTAACAGGGTTGTTGGCTGATATTCATTAACAATTTGTGGTGTGGGGCTTTGTAGAGAGCTGTGAATGCACCGGGTTCCAGGGTACCTTGTCCCTGTTCATTCACCTGACCCATGATGATGTAGTTGACACCTGTGAGAATGAAAAAAACAAACAAACCCAAAAAACCCCACAAACATTAAGATTAAATGAGGTTATGTTTGTTAAGTTAAAGACGATACTGCTGACCTCCAGCACCTGGATAATACGAATTTAAAAATAAGCAACAACCCACCTTTGCGGAACAGCGGGCACTTCTTGCACTGCGACATCAGCTTAACTGACATGGTCTCTCCAACTTGTGTTATGGTTAGCCGGCCTGCTTTGTAGGCCTTGATGAGGGACACAGTAATCTGAATAGCACCTCGGGGCCTCGGGGCCACAGAGGTCACCTTCCCGGTTAATACTGGAAAAAAGGTGGGGTCAGTCAGAACGCAACATCTGATTGATAATGCATGTGTGTGTATATATGTCAACAGCAGGAAACTTACCAAATTCACTGGCACAGAAACTAGTCTTGATTGTTCCATTTCTTTTACAGGCTTTGGCACAGAGTGGATTTTGAGGCACTAATAAGAAAATAGTGAAAAAGAAATAATATATTTTTAGTGATACTAGTTGTTAACTTTTTTATTTTTATTTTGTACATTTACCTACCAGGCCTCTTTCCATTTGGCTTTGCATTACGGTCTCTAGTGGGCTTGACTGGTTTGGGGACAGGAGCTGGCACATATTTGGTGGTTGTTTCTATCGGGGTAGAAGGATGTGCAGGTTTGACAGAAGGTACTGGAGGACTGTATCTTGTAGTCTGTCCTGAGTTGACTGTTGGTATCTGAGAACCACGTGGCATGCTGGTAAAGTGGGCGAGGAACCCATCAGACGTCACACTGAGGTCTGACACAAACTGGACCAGTAGCACATTTCCGCTGGTAACAATAGGTCTAGGAACGAGACAGGAAAAAGGATGAGGTGTAAAATTAGAAATGGCTATTTTAAAACGACTTTAAAGGCTTCAGAAATTTCTGTCACTCACTCTGGGACCTGATCGCCACAGTATTTTCCAATCAGACGTGAGTCATCCCTCTCTCCGCCATTAAAGAATGCCACATAGTCAAAGCGACAATAAGCGTCATCCTCCACGGCAAACTTATCAAAATTCACGTGGATCACCTGGTATCCAAAGAGACACAAGTATAAAGATTCAATTAATCAAAGTAAGGAACTTTGGACTATACAGTGGCTGCACACTGCGAGTCAGCTTGCCACTGACCATATTGGGCTCCACAGTGATCAGCCAGGAGCAGCTTGTTCCTGGTTCGTATTTTTTGTCGGGCCAGTTGGGTGTCTTGATCTCTCCCTGGGCTTTTGTCATCCTCCCCCCACAGAACTGTTCGTCTGAAACAAGCCGTAAACACTCCATTAGGGTGCTAAATGAAGAGACTTGTAAATTTTTCTTAAAGCTGTCTGCACCATTAATATCAAATAAGACATTTCACATTTATAACAAAGATATAAATTTCAACATTTTGAGCTGATATTAATAATCTAGCCTGTTGGCTGGAACACTTTTTAAAACACATTGTGCAAGCTCAGGGGTGTAGCATCATACTTTGGCCTCTATGCCGGCCCCCCTTCCACTATTATTACACAATTTCTGATGAGCCCCCAGGGTACTGCTGGAGGTCGCTGGAGCAGCATGACTCAGGGTCACATTTGAAGCATATTATTGAAGCTTAATTATAAGCCCTTCCAAACAAAAAAGAAAAGTCTGAAGACTAATCTCAGGCTTGATACTCAACATCTATCTGCTGAATCCAGACTGTCGATGGTTCTGCCTCCTGTTACTTTTAATGATATGTTTCAGATCATTTGCCAGAGGTTACTTTAATTACCAGTAATAATTTGCTATTGAAGGTTTTAATGCAAAGAAATTCACTACTTATTATTCTGCTCCCTTACAACAGTACTGTGAAAGCTGGATGAGGTGGGAAACTTCCTGTTTTCTTTAACACTGTAAACACTTCATTCCTAAACTATGAAAGCTGCACTTGCCAATCGTTTTAAAGAATATAGTCATTTTTAATAGTTTAAATCCAAAACAGGCTTAATCTGGGATTTATAAAAAATTTAGGAGTCATAAATGTTGTTAAACTAATGTGTATTGAGAACCTCTGCAGTGCTTTCAAATGTTTTATTATTATTGTTATTATTATTACTTTGGTTTTAGGTTTGCCACCACTTAAAGCTGAGGAGGCAAGAGGCCAAGAAGAAGAGGAGATTAACTATTTAATTAAGCTTAACTTTAATTTAAGGCAAAATTACCTCATTAGAAATTGTGGTCATGGATACGAAGTCCAAAAATATATGCTACATTCAGGCACTGGGATTATTTGGGAATGCATACATGGCATTATAATGAAAAACACAAAAACAAAACAGCTTCATCATGTGACCACATACCAGATACGTAGGGTTTGACTGCACTGAAATAGGCCAGAAATCCTCGACTCTGCGTCTCGTCATCAGTCACCATCTCCAGCATCATCATGTTTGTGGTTGAAATGAGCGCTCCAGGTCGGAAAGTTCCACAAAAGCGACCCAGTTTTTGCACCAAGTTGGAATGTCCATTGTAAACATCCAGATAGTCGTAGCGGCATTGTGAGTCAGCCTCGAGGTCAAAAATGCGAAAGGAGAGCGTTATCACGTTTCCCTCTGGGACCTGGAAAGCATCGAGATCACATGAGTCAGACACAGAAAGCTTGGAAAAGCTGGAGAACTCAGGCTTGGGGAAGGGAGAGTGACTCACAGTGATGCGCCAGGCACATTTGCTGTTTGGTTTGTAGAAGCTTGGGAACCCTTCACTTCCAACAAAGCCTGATTCAGCAACCATGTCTCCTCCGCAGTAGAACACAGGCCTGTGGTAAAGGAGTCAGTGAGAAATGGGAATCTCAAGCAGAGTCCTAAAAGGACTAACATCCTCTAGTTGTCTGTCTAAATGAACACTTGGCTGTTGTGGTTGTTGTTGTGGGAATTTACTGGAAGAAATTAGTGTAAGAAGATGGAAATTTTCATTATATGAAGATTTAATCGCAGGGTGCAGATGTTGCTACATGTATTCATGCAATGTTTTTCTTAATTAAAGTCTGCTGCTTAATTGACACTAAAACAGGGAAAGAATGAAAAAAACAACAATAATCACACTTCAATCAAGTTGGAGTCAGCACTTGAGCTCTGTAACAGGATCATAATTAAGTTAAGATGACTTCTTTTGACAGACCCTTGTTTACTCTATATCAGTCATTTATAAAGCCTATAAATCGATTTATAGTCTTAGCTTGGCTGTACCTCAGGAAATAGAGCCAGAGACTGTATATAAAACATGGCTGTGGCTTTCTGCTCTTAAGACAGAAGCCAGCGCAGAAGTACTTTGCATTCTTTTTTAAAGTCCAGCAAGAGGAAAATCTTGTGATTGCAAAAAGACTTCTGATTAAATGGTTATACGTGTGGGTTTACATAGAGATTTTCTTTTGTCAATTATCGTCCCCATAGGAATCTGAACTTTTGATTGATTGAAGTCATTAGCCTTTTGCTAATGTTGAAGCTTCACAGCTGGACTTCCATTACCAATAGGAGACGCCAAGGTCCACTAATCTAAAGGTTGGTGGTTTCATTCGCAGATCTTATAGCCACATGTTGAATAGCATTTTAGTAAGATAAATTGCTCCCAAATTACCTGTCATTATTTGTGTGTTTTAAATAGACTTGTACCTATAGTTTGCTTTTCTATTCAATTTGAGCACTCAAAGGGCTTTCTTATACAAGCCTCATCCAGCCAGTCACACAACTGCCTTTTTCTTAGTCCATTTATACAGTAAAAGATTTTCAAACTTAACAGAGTTTGAACTAACCAGCCATGGTTTGAGTTTGGGCTAGCATAACTAATGTAAACTGGTTATCATGTTCATGTTTGTGTCTTTTGATCCCCAATGTGTTCCTTGGACAAAACAACACTTTACATGAACAAGAAAGAGGTGGGTATTTCCTTCTTCTTGCTAGTTAACATTATCTGTTATCTTTGGTGTTGGAAACTATCTAAGTTGTTGTAACTAGTTTACCCACGAGGTAAGATTTGTAATGCTTGTTAAATAGAGATGTTCTTGCATTTGTGCAATGTGCGTATTTACATCAAATAACTGTTTGACTCAGACTGACTTTGATATTGTGTGCAGCTAACAGAGGCTAACTAGCTAAATGTAATAGGGGTTAGAGACAATACCATCACAGTGGTTGCATATATTAATTTTTAATTTGTATTTTTTTAAACTTGAGTGCTTTGGTAGTCCATAACTATGTAGTGACTAGTCAGTAGCTTGAAGTAAAGAGTTGAATAATTGTAGGCCAGTCAAAAGTACTGGGGATTTTACAGCTGACGCTCAGGTTTTGGACACTTTGTCAAAATGTACTTTCCAGGAAGAAAAATGTCCTATTTTGGCAAGGATACATTTGTAAAACTAGGAGCCACTGAAAAAATGTCAGTTATTATGAAGTCATTTCTGTTAAGGGATATTTTACAGTTAGTGGTGTAGAGAGTTTTGGAGAGTTCAAGTTTTTAAGAAATATAAAACATCTTTCAATCATGCCTCATTTTAGAGGAAGTAAACAAATTGTAAGGAGGCAAAAACAGCAACGTGGACAACCAAAATTAGAAAACTAAAATTAGATTGAAATATAACGTTGTTGTTTTCCCAGACTAGGACTCAGACAGCAGAACCCCAGCAAAGTCAGGCAGCTGCTGATTACAGCCTAAATGCACAGAATCAGAGCCAAGTTTCTCTGATTCAACCCCACAGGCAGAGCTGAAAGCATTAACATCTGTGGCACCTCAGCCTTTGCAAACTCAGTGCGCCACACATCATGAGCCCAAAACCAACAGGACAGCTCTGTGCCCAATTAAACAGTCAGCTGGAAAGAATGTACAGAAGCAGGACTGAATTAAAATGTCATAGTAAAGATCATTTCAAAGAACCTTTTTATCCTGGTTGATATTTGTTAAAACAAACAAAAGTATCTTCACCTCACATATCTGCATATGAGGATCAGAGTGAATTTCAAGAAGAACCTTTCTTCTGCAGGTTCTCGATCACAAATGGTTTAAAATGCAACCTCACCTGGTGAAATTTGTCTGTTGGGCCTTTGTCCATCCCAAACTCAGAGACAAGACCAAGGAGAGACCCCAGATATGGCTCATTGGCTTCATGATGCTGCGTACAAAAAGCAAACCAGACTATTTGCAGAAAAGGAAGATGGTAACAGGAGGCAAGAGGTGAAAGACAGAAGAGGAGGAAGTGGAGGAGAAAGAGGAGGAGGAGGCTCGGAATGGGCGGAGAGAATGAATGAGTAGGGGGGCAAGAATGGACGAAGAGATGGACAATAAGGATGAAAGGGCTAAAGTTGCAAAAAATAACCATGGGGGGGGGGGATGACGTGAGTGGCGAGGGACGGAGGAGAAGGCTTTAATTTGAGCCAGATGTTTCTTCCAGAGTAAGTCTGGTCTCAGTCTCAGTGAGCATCTAGGAAGGAGGAGCAAAGGGCTCCAGTATCAGAAGTCTGGAAAGTTTTGTTTCTGGATGTTTCTGGACCTTTAAATGCCTAAAAGTTCAGGAAAAATGAACTCCAGCTTGCGTCTGACTCCTGATTACAGAGAGGGCACAGGTAGAGGCAAAGCCTGAGGCTGTATGGGCTGTACGTGCACAGGAAGGCCCGTAAATCTTTACATTCCACAGCATGATGTGAGACCTTTAATTTGCAAAACAGAATGTTTTTCTTTAAAAAAAAATAGCCTTAGTTGAATGAAAAATACATGTGGGAGTCAAAATAAGCTCTAATAGGAATGATAATAAACCTGATGCTCTTATTTCCCTAAGCCCCAGGAGCTCCTTTGCCTCCATTGACTCAAGGACTGTTTATTTGCCACCAAGGCAAGAATAACACTTGAGAGGAGGGAGTATCCTTTCTCTGTTGAGATTCAGTAATGAGCCAACTCTTTCGCCTGCGTTATTGAGGCCTGTGGAGGGTACGCTGATGTAAAATGATAAATTTTTATGGACTACAAAGGTGGACATCTTGATCAAACTGTGAGGGAAAAGGTCCAGACAGTCTGTAAAATCACAAAGATATTCCCACAAAGAAGTTTTTTTTCTTTTCTCTTCCTTCTTTTTTTATGTTTAGTAAGATTTTATAGTTCAGATCTCATTGTGGCGTTCCAGATTGCTTGAAAGAGGTTTTGTGCCACATGCTTTCCAAACTTTTGACAGATTTGGTGCTTGTCTGTTTTGCAGTTAGAGAAATGAGCATTCCCCAGTCGTGCTGTGTTGTGTTTGTGTTTAACCCCAAAGACGCTGATAAGAGTCAGCGGGGGAAGGAATGCAAAGGCGCACAGGAGTCTGCTGGTGGTGGCGGTGGTGGTGGTGGTGGTGGTGGTGGGGGGGGAGTGTACGACGTCTGCACAACCATGCAGCCGCTGCCAATATGTGTGGGAGTAACAGTGACCTTTAAGCCGTAATCCGAGGCAAGAGTGTAGGTTTCTGCTGTAACTCCTGAAAGAGTCCTCCAAGCTGGCCCCACATTCCTGCTGGGGAGTCAAGAGGGAACAGCAGCGGGGGAGGAGATGACTTGTAGTGAACGGACGGCTGAGGCAAAAGAGGAGGGGTGCGCTGACTGAGAAAAATGGAAAACAAACTTAAAACAGTTTGACAGCGAGACAGTCCCAGAAAAGTGAAAAGTTGTTTTTGGTACGCACCCTGGAGTTAGGTCACGTCCATGCCTCCTCCCTGAGCCAGCACATTACTGTTATTACATCCACACATTTCCTTTTGCAAGCTGTTAATCTCTCTCCCTCTCTTTTTAAACTCTGAAACACAATTTAACGTGACACTGCGCTTCAGAGGTGAGGAAAAAGAACCAAAACCAGAATGCGTGCAGTTGTGTGAATCCATCTGTAAAGGTGATGGATCCAAACTGATGATTTCAAAGCAACTGTGGAGCCATCTGTTCTGTTTAAATATGGTTCCTCACAAATTCACTGCGCACATTTTTTTTAAAAAAAGAAGAAAAAAAACATTCCTCAAATCATGTGGTGCGTTGCAGTAAGGACCAACTCTCATAGGATCTCAGTGATAACTAGATGGAAGCACATGCAGAGGTGACTTGGAATGACTGTGTCCTGCTTTGTCTGAGTTTGTCACTTTTCAGGAGGGAAGTCGTTGAGGCATAATAGCCTTTTTCCTGGATGCACTTCATTGTGCGTTTTATGGGGAAAATAAGATATTCCAGTGAATGAGTCAAAAAGCTCACAGCAATAACAGGATGTCTCACTAAAGTCAGATCTAACGGCAACTCAAATGTCACACCTAATACTTGACTTCCCTCACATTTTATGGTAGCTGCTCAGGAGACATCATTATTTGCCAGTAAGTCCGAGTCATGGTAATGACAGTATTCAGCTAGAAAAAGTTAATTCCTTTCACATGCATGCTTTTTCCCTTATGCTGCAGTGGCAGACATGTGGTTTACAGAAATAAAAAGCACAAGTTAGACAGATTAGAAAATAGCCAACTATATCCATCTGTAGAAATGAGTTCAAATAATAAACACCATCAAAACAAAAACAAGACGCTTGCATGAGGAAACATCTGAAAAGAAAACTCTAAGTGTGCAAATAGAGCAGTGGTTACCCTCACAGATTTCGATGTAGCTGGTTGCATGCAGAGGTGATATAAACGAAGTGTTGCAAGCCAGCATCTATGCTTTTGCATGCTGGCAAGTAGTTTAGTGTGAGTAATTTCAGTCTGTAGTGTACGTGAAGTAATGTTGTAGAGGACAGGGCGACACCCAGCGGTGAAAACGTGAAGCTACATCTTGGGTGCAGTGTTATTTCTTATCGCCGCCCTCACAAATAGATGGTGAAGTCGTGTAACAACAATGGTCTATCCCCCCTCTTTCTGTTTCATCATCTTCGGAGTGATAGCAGCTCATTTTCTGTTTCTTCGTCCAAGTTGTTCCATTTGAAGCGTGTGCAGTCGTTCATTTAGCCACTCTGTCAGAAAGCCTGTTTTGCGCTGACGAAGCAATTGGAAAGAGTCAGCGCCATGATAATAATGTGCAAAATGAAGCTCTGCTTTTATGTGCTTAATTTAGAGCTAGCGCTTGCTGGAGAGCTTTCTTCTTCTTCTTTTATTACATATGTGGGCTAGGAAATTCATATTTAGTGAACCGATAGCAAGAAATATGACCGCTTTAGCTACTCTTCAAAATAAAAGCCACCGGAAACGACGATGATAACGTTTTGGTTTTTTGATTCAGCATTAGAATTAAGTAGAAAATTCGAGAATAAAGGTAAAATACTGCTTGATCTTGGAATAAAATTGTCGACAATAAGATAAAATTGTTAATTTTCGATACTTTCTTGGTTACCAGATGCTAAAAGAGAAATTATCTATCTGTTACCTGAAACAAAAAGTAGTACATTCTCACAAATTGTGGCTTTACTATTAAAATTTCTATTTATGTTCTCAAAATTTCAACTTTAATTTTTGTATTTTTAAAAATATGATCCTAATACTCCTTCATAGGTTTCCCTGGTTCCAAAACCCTAATTAGATATTGGCAGGTTGTTAGAAGTTTTTAGAGAGCAACCCCCCCCCCAAATCCCATTCTGTGATGTACACGAGTGTCTCAGCCACACCTGACAGTTTGTATTTTTGCCCTCTGGTTTCAAGAGACTTACTTTTCTGATACAGAATTTAGTGTGCGTAATTACTATGGAGGCGTAAGTTTTGTGCCTACTTTATTAGTCTAACTACAGTGAACGAGCTACATTATAGTTTAGCTCATTTATATGCTCATGCAACTGGTTGTGCATGCTGTTTAGTTTTCAGTGATGCGAGAGTCTTAATGTGAGTTTAAGGAGTTAAAAAGAGACTATAAACCAGACTGAATGGATGCAGAGGTGCACATTTTTCTGACTTCAGGTCTTAACATAGTCTTTTTTGGCACTCTTGCATATACTAAGGATCAATTAAGGATATCATTTGCATTGGTAATAACTGTATGCTTATTCACACAGGTCCCAGATTTGCAGTCACATTTGCATTTCCCCATTGTTGCACACGGACAAAGCGCAGGAAGCACAAATGAAAGCACAAGCTGTCATAGACACAGTTTTTCCAATATACATATATTTCATGATGTTCATCAATATAATAAGACATTGATAGATTTACACTACAATTATTTTATGTACTTTAGTTTCTCATTCAGTCTCCTCTCCTTTGCGTTGAGTCAACCTTGTTAAGTTTCTAATCCCATACCAAATGACAGCACAATAAATTTATCAATAAATAAAAGCAAACAGAGAAAAAACATACAGCCCAGCACATTGCCCGTGATCTTCCAGTCCTGTCCCTCCTGTAAGGCCAGACGACCAGGGGCAATATGGACCATCATCTCAGAAAACCCACTCCCAAAAAGACAAAAAAAAGAAAGAAAAGTCTTTCCTCAAAAATAAACTGATTTAAACAAAAAATATATCTGGTAGATACAAACAGCAATCTGATGTAAACTGTAGAGTCATTCTAAGCACTCTGGACTATTGAAAGGTAAAAATACTTTCCCCTGCCCTTCTAACTTCCCATTTTCTTTACCTTTACCCATCAGTGCTGACACACAAAAACTCAGTGACATCTGGAGTTATTACTAAACTGATGCAAAATAAAAACACAATATTTGGTTTCAAAAAAGGAACAAAAGAAACATGTTAACATATGTTAAGTAGAATATTGTGAATTGATAGCCATCAAAAGAACATTCAGAGACTCAAAAGGTTCCCTCCTATTGCTGCGTTCACCCCCTTTAGGGCTTAATGGCGAACATTTCAATAAGGTTGCGGATTTTGCGTTGGTCTCCTTCTTTCTTGCTCGTTTGCTTTCAAAATTTGAATTACAAATTCAAGAGCCCTGTAAAAAAAAGGGCTCCAAACACTTATTCCCCCTAAATGACCTGAACGCAGCGCTGAGATCACTGAACGGTTCTTGAGGCTGACGTAAGACAATATTCACCAGTGAATCATATTCCCATCCCGCTTGAAAATGAATGAGTCACAACATTTTAAAAAGAAGAAGAAGAAAGTGCCACGGTGTTCAAATTTATGCACACTTCTTTTCATACAGACAGTAAAGCAACAGAAAAAGAGAGCAATCACTTCGTTTTCACTATTGTGACCAATAGGGTTGAGCTCTCACGGGACAACAGCTGGATTTATGGAGAACACACAAATCCTACCCCAATCAGT